CTAACAAGTGAGAAAAGCATATTAACAAGTGAGAAAAGCATATTTACATCTTTTTGCTATAAGCTTATCACCATAAATCAATTAATAAGGTGATGTATAATTGATTTCGAAAAGTGATAAAAACAACAAAGTTATACTTTCTCTAAAAAATAAAAAAAAATAAAAAAAGTTATAAAGTAAACCATTATCCTTCTGTTTTGAGTATCAAATATATGTATATACCATTTTAAATCCTATTTTAATTTAGTCCCTAAATACTTTTTTACTATTTTAGTATTAGTAGTTTCAATTTTTGTTTGTTTTAATCTTTATATTTTCGAAATGTTTGAGAGATATTTTGAAACTAAAGTATAATATAATATCTTTTACAAATTTCCGAAACTTCTAAAATCTTTAAAACCAAATATAATATTTCAAATATATATAATATCTTTCAAAAGAAAATCTGTAAAAAAAGTTTTGTAACAATATGACTTTATTTTTTTGTCTTTTAAAAACATACATGCTCCAAAGTAAAAATACTTTTTTTTTAGTTTTCAATATTTTGCTTAAATTTTATAAATGTTTTTAAAAAGTAAATAAACGCACACACTCATAAAAAATACACATGCATTTTTTAAATTCAATTACTAAAACAAAAATGTGCAAAAATATGCCTCAATTAAAATTCATATTAAAAAATATTTTCATATCCAGTAATATTTTAAATATATATAATAAAGTAATTAAAGATACCTGTATTGTAGACAAAATCTTGCTCCAAGTTTGCTATCTCTATTAAATTTGAACAATTCCTACAACAAAAGAAAATTAATAATAAAACTAAAAAATAAAAAATAAACAATAAAAATATTAACAATTACCTTAGAAGGATGATGGTGAAGATAAAATGGAAGGGAAGTAAGGAAGGAACCAAAAAATGGAAAGAAAAAAGGGAGGGAAACAAAAGTAGGATTAAAATGAGAGTGATGATGAAGATAGAATGGGAGACCCGAGTTAGAAGAAGAATGGAAAAATGAGGATGAAGTTAAAAAACAGATACTTAATAAATAGAATTTGAAAAAAATAAAAATAAAAATACTGCAATTGTGCAGAGAGGTTCCTTGTAAGGAACCTCTGAACCGCTGAAAGTGGCAGGGAATCCACTTGAATTTCCAAGATGGATGCGTCTCTTTATTAAGAGACGCATCCTGAATAACTCTGTCAGTTCCCAAAAAAAGTGCGCTGAATGCGTCTCTTCAAGAGACGCATTCGTATAAAACTAGTCAAACGCGTCTTTCAAAAAGACGCAAAATCCCAAAAATCCAAAATTTTCAAAACTCACCCGTTTTTTTTCAATTAACTTTAAAAATTTTCAAAACTCACCCGACTCTTTAGGTTATAACTTGAACATAATCCTATTATATGTCAACTACATACTATTCAAGATTACATTTATAACTTTGGATTTTCACAAAATTGGATAATATTTGCACATAACAAAATAAAATAAAATAATTATTTTATTCACAAATAATTGAAATTTACAAACTACGAGGCTTTAGGGCATAAATCCTAACATTCTTCTCCTGAATCTAGGAGAAATTCTAAGATAATCAGGATAACTTTTTCTTTTGAATTCAAAATGTAGAAAATAATGGGATTTTACTCATCAATAACATTAGCCCCCACTCTCAAAATACATCGTATTAATTTTGAATCTTTATCCAAAATTAATATATATTTATATAATGTATCAGTATATATTATATACATTCCCTTATATAATTTGAACATTTCAAATTATTTCATAATTCTTCATCTTTTTTTTACCTGTTGTGAGCTAGCAAGGGGATCTAATGGACCTACAGATCAGAAGCTCTAACGATGTGAGATTAATCAGTCAAACTCATTAACTGAGTTAATCAACATTCGTTAACTGCGAGTCACTCCACTAAAGACCCGCAGCTGCACTATTCTCATTGCAGAATATTTTTGTGTCCATTGATGTATGACCATTAACCGCAAGTCAATCTTTCACGAGTGCTCGTAACTCTAGCTTGGCGAAATTACCGTTTTATCCCTTAGTTACATCTTCCTCCTTAAACTTTATTGCTCCTCTAATCAACAACCTGGTTATGGTCCGACCAATAATCGAAAGTCCCTCTCAGGCAAGTGAGATGGTGGGGTCCCTTGTTCAAGTCTCAAAGTCAGCATGTCAGGGAAGACTCATCTACTTCCCTAAAGTCGGGAAGGAGTGAATTCCATCTTATGTAGTTATATTCCCAAGCTCCCCACTCGGTATTGTCCTCAAAATGGTAGGATTATTGAGTCGGCAACTCGGACCACTCTCACCCATATAAATCAAAGGATATTCCCTTAGAGGCAGAAGTCCATAACTCGCTCAAGATTAAATTCGAGTCACCTGGTCATCCTATGAGATAACAATCTATTGACTAACGGTGTTAGAGCCAATGATTAATTATTTCGTGATATGATCCTATACAAACTCATTGTATAGGATACCCTCACTCGCATGTCTCTACATGAATGACCTGGATCAAGCCGTTTGTAACTATTATGGGTCGTATCCATAGTATTATTAGGATACTTGATATGAATTGATATACCAACGATATACTTGAATGTTGATATGTTATGTTTCACTCAAACAAAAAAATTTCATTTAGAATTATGAGTTGAAAGTTCAGTTATACTAAAAATTATAAATTTTAGATAACATCATAGAAGCTTTTTTCCTAAACAAAACGTGAAATTGTTCAAAGAATGATTCTTTGAAAATTTTTTATCATTTGGAATTAGTGCCCTGCTTACTTATTATGAATCGCAATAAAAATCCATCGAAATGAGAATTAAAATGTTATTCCATTTACTAAAACAAATGTTATGAGAATTTTTATATTAAAGAGCATAAATACTTAAAAGAATTTTTAGATTTACTTTATATTATTTTACTTAATATTAATAAATTATATATATATAAGTCTAAACAATCTATTTTTTCTAAATAAATTACTAGAGTCTCACGAGATGTGAGTTTTTCTCTCTTTTTGAGAGGGTTCCTGGTTTTTCTAGGATGGCAGGTTCTTGATGGCGAGACTTCATGGAAAAACTTCTGGCAAAGTGGGATTCTCTATCCTTCCTAGAAGAGGAGTACTGCAATTACTGCTGAGGATAATTTTGAACTGATGTCAGATGAGAATGTTGGCATGTGTGTTGCTGGCAAACTTTGTCTCAATAAAAAGATTAATGTGGAGGCTTTTCAATCAATTATGCGTAATATATGGAAGGTATAGAATGGTACCAGGATTGAGCCGGCTGGTTTTAATTTGTATGCAATTCAATTTCAGACGTTGTCATAGAAGAAACGGATCTTGGGGTCTAGTCCCTGGTCGTTTGAGAATGGGTTACTTGTTCTTCAGTCCCCTGGGGTGGAGGAGCGGCCCCTGAATATGGTTTTTACACATGAGGCTTTTTGGCTACAAATACACAATGTTCCTTTTAATTGTATGTCGAAAGCTATGGCCCTGAAATTGGGAGCATCTGTGGGCGAGGTGATTGAGGTTGATTTTGGAGTCAATGACAGTTGGATGGGGCCTTTTCTTCGTATCCGAATTGGATTGGACATCACGAAGCCCCTCCGGCGTGGTGTCAAAATCAAGCAGAGAGGTGGGGTAGAGGTTTGGTGCTCGGTTCAGTATGAAAGGCTTCCGGATTTTTGTTTTAATTGTTGTGTGATTGGTCACTCGTGCGGAGAGTGTGAAAAACCTCCAGTACAGGGGTTGGTGGAGGTTGAG